CCCTCGCCCCCTTCCTCTGGCAGAAGAAAACCCTAGCACCCCTCCTGCGTCAGCATCCCCATCAACATCACCGTCAGCATCACCGTCACCAGGCCCTTCTTCCTCAGAATCGGAGATCAAACGGGAGCCCCCAGTCGTCGAGGACTTATTTGATGAGTCCAAAGCCTTTGCCCCAGAGTCCTCACCGTCAGAGGAAAGCCCTAGAATCCCTCCTCCTGCAGAACAAAGCCCTAGCACCCCTCCACCGGCAGTGTCAGCGGGCCCTTCTCCCTCGGGACTAGAGATCACACTTGAGAACCCAGTTATAAATGATAATTTTGATAAGTCCCATATTCTCACACCGGAGGGAGTCGCCTTGGCACCATCTCCATACCCTGAAACACTAGAGGCCCTTGCCCCAGAGTCTTCACCTGCGGAAGACAGCCCTACCACCCCTCCTCCTACAGAACAAAGACCTAACACTCCTCCACCAGCACCATCCCAAACATCATCATCGCCGTCACCGGGGCCTTCTCCCTTGGGATTGGGGATTACACTAGAGCCCCCAGTTATTGACGACCTACTTGACCAGTCCAAAGATCTCTCATCAGAGGGACCCGCCTTGGCACCATTTCCACCCCTTGAAACACTGCAAGCCCTTGCCTCAGAGTCTTCACCTGCAGAAGAAAGCCCTATGACGGCAGCATCCCCATCATCATCGTTGAGTGCACTTGATCGCCCAGTTATCGACGATCTGCTTGACCAGTCCAAAGTTCTGTCATCAGAGGAACTGGCCTTGGCACCATCTTCATCCCTTGAGGCACCGGAAGCCCTTGCCCCAGAGCCTTCACCTGCAGAAGAAAGCCCTAGTACCTCTTCCCCTGCAGAACAAAGCCCTAACACCCCTCCGATGGCAGCATCCCCGTCATCATTGCAATCACCGGGCCTTTCTCCCATCGGATTGGAAATTCCACTTGAGCCCCCAGTTGTCGATGACCTATTTGGCAAGTCCCAAGTTCTAACACCAGAGGAACTGACCTTGGCACCATCTCCACACCCTGAGACACTTCAAGCCCTTGCCCCAGAGTCTTCACCTGCAGAAGAAAGCCCTAGCACCCCTCCACCGGGTCCTTCTCCCTCAGGATTGGGAGTCACACATAAGCCCCAAGTTATCGACAACTTACTCGATAAGTCCCAAGTTCTAGCACCAGAGGAACTGCCCTTGGCACCATCTCCAACCCATGAAACTCTGCAGGCCCTTGCCCCAGAGCCTTCACCTCCAGAAGAAAGCCCTAATACCCCTTCTCCTATACAAAGCCCTAGCACCCCTCCACCGACAGCGTCCCCATCGTCATCACCTTCACCGGGCCCTTCTCCCTCAGGATTGGGGGTGACATTTGAGCCCCAAGTTATCAACCAGTCACTTGATAAGCCCCAAGTGCTAGCACCAGAGGAGCTGGCCTCGGCGCCATCTCCACCCCCTAATGCCATCGCCTCAGAGTCTTCACCATCCTCATCGCCATTACCAACCCCATCGTCAACCCCATCCTCACTACCATCCCCATTGCTCTCATCACCCCCTGCTGAACCAAGTTCACATCCAGAGTTACCCTCTCCCAAGGCTGCGCTGCCGCCTCCTGAAACGAGTTCGCCTTCTGAATTACCCCCTCCAAAGGCAGCACCACCTCCTGTCGAAACAAGCTCACCTCCAAACTTGCCCGCTCCCGAGACAAGCTCACCTCCAAACTTGCCCTCTCCCGACACAAGCTCACCTCCAAAAGTGCCCC